TGTCTGTCTGTCTGTCTGTCTGTCTGTCTGTCTGTCTGTCTGTCTGTCTGTCTGTCTGTCTATCTATCTATCTATCTATCTATCTATCTATCTATCTATCTATCTATCTGGTGATGTTGCTAACCAGTTTCTAAACTTTTTTTAAAAAATGATAAAAGTTCAGAGCTTATAAGTACTCTCAAGCTCTTTGGGGAGCTTGAGAAATACTGTAGTTTGTTACTCATTTTGAAAGACCCGCACTGCAATGCAAGGCTCTAGCTTATTTTTAGATCTAAATCATCACATGGTTGGTCATCATATGCATTATAAAGATTTTAGGTTTCTCACGTCTGAATTGTTCCACTAGTCAGTGCTCGTTTTATACCTATAGCTGCTTCTTGGTTTGTATTTTTTCTCCTTTTTTGGGGGGCAAAATTTTGGATCATTTCACCACCTTCACCAACTGTCGGAGATACAGAACAGATACTGTAATTGTTTATCATTTCCTGAAAGCTTTTGGTTAAACCATATCTGCATTTATTTTGGTTTTCATTCCCCTTTGAGGGCAGTAGACTCACATAAAATGTAACAGATTAGTAGCTTTGATCAAGCCAAAATGAAGAAACGGGATCTGATCGTGATAGATAATACTTTTTGGAGTTTCATAACATGGTTCTCTGGCAGCAGCAGAAAATTACTTTAAATCTTCAGTAGTCAAAGCGAGTACGGTTTCATTCATGACACCATTTAATAGATGACAATGACTTGAATGACCACAGCTGCTAAAGTACTAAGTGAAAAAAAACAGCACCTTGTTTTCATTTAGATACTTCTGGGTTTTTTTTGTTTTCTTTTTTTATGAAGTCTGTTCCTGTTGATTACGTCTGACTACCCTATGTATGTTTTATTCTTTTCTAAGCAGAACTTTCCAGTTATTCATTATACTTTAGCTCCCTAAATGTTGAAGTGACTCAGATTCTGTTGTTTAGCATAAAAACTATTGTTCATGTCAGGTTCTTAATATTATAGAAAAAAAGTTAAGTTATTATTCTTTATTGCTCTTTTCCTCGTTTCCCTGTGGGTGATGGCAAACTGCATTAGGCCTGCTAACTAGAAGCTACTTTTGTAGCTCAATAAATCATATGCACACACGGTACTGCGCACACAATTTATAATTTTGTTTCATCAATTGATGTTTTATACATATTTTATTGGCTCTGATATATCTGTCTCTACTGTACAGTACTTTGGGAAGACATATTGATTCTTTTAAGTGCACTTTATAAATAAAAATAGAGTGGAATATACATCACCACGAATACTGCTAAGAGAATACTCTTTTTAAATTTTTTAAGCGATCACAAAACACTTATTGAGTTCTTAATTTAACCTCTTTACTGGCCAGCAGGAGATTTTGTTACCTTCAGTGATTTGAAATGTTTATATTTTGAGAGTTCAATTTAATATCTAGACCCATTCACACACAGTTCAAGCATTCAAAGACTTCCAGTGGAAAGATGTCTGCTCAGACGTTGGTTTTCTCTTCTTTCCGTTGCGTTGAGGTAAACCGTGCAAATACCTTCTGTCTTTGACACTTACAACACAAGCGTCAGAGTAAGAACGGCCACAGCCTTCTCCGCTTTCAGCTTAAAATGTGACATGAAAACGTTTCGCCAAATGGCAGGAGAGTAATTTCGCAGAGCAATCATGACACGATTTTCTGATTTTATTTAAAGCCAACTTTTATATTTGCCGCACAAGAGAAACAACAGCTTGTGTTTCAGCTGTTGGCAATTGTTGGAGAGGAACGTTTTTGCTACAGACGCCTGCTCAGAAGTACAAGAGGTGGTCAAAATTTATATTGCAGCTCCAGCCGGTCAGCAATCACACACAGACAAATCCGAGGGATTAAGTTAACCACAAGATTTTGTCTCTGCCAAACAGTGCCAAGTGCTTCGCTAGGTCCTGCAATTTCAGTAACCCTTGATTCATAGGGAAATTGTATTAAAGTGTATTACAGATTTACAGAACAGTGTATTGGGACACAATTCAGGTGTTCTTTCAGTAGTACTTCTGATTTTAGTTTAGATCTTTTCCTTTCATGCCCTTAAATATTCTGAAGATCCTTCTAATCTCTGCGGTCTGCAAAGTCATCTGTGCATTCAGGCAAAATGAGGCGGTATTTACATCTGAAGCATAAGTAATTATGGTCGGCCTTTTGGGGATCATAAGCTTTATGGTTGCAGTAAATAGGACAGTCACCTGCAGCAGTTCTGGGTTTACGTGAAATTACTTTTTTTTTTCGTACTGCTGTGGTAAATGGCTATTTTGACACTGCAACCTTAATTTGTACTTCAAGTTTGCATATCGTTTATATTTCTTAACTTGTGCCCAAAAACTTCATATTTGTGTTTTAGTACGTTGAGGGACTAAAAATCAAAAGATTATTTTAACATACATTGATCTGTTTCCATTTGACGCTGGCTAATAATCTATCTCTGGTCCCAGAGAGGCTCATTTTCAGACTTTGTTGCCGGCAAGAACTGGAGCTTATTCTGCTCGGGTGCATTGCTTTGTTCATGTGTTATTGTGCGGTAGCCGCGCGGAGCCGGATCCATCACAACGAGAAGAGAGGCGACTCATAAAGAAGTGGTAAAAATAGCTTTGCGGATAAATAAAAAGTGGCAACTCTAAATTTCTGTTTAAAGTGCCAAGACAATGTGGACAAGTTTGGTCTCGACGGCCACGAAAAAGGAGCGCAGTGACGCCTCCTTCCTTTGTTTTAACCCTCTAATTAACAAATGTCAGAGGGCGTACATGTGAAATTACTTTACTTTTAAACATTAGTATTATATAAAATAATTACCAGCAGCGTAATTCAGTCTGATTGTTGCGCACCAAATGATGTTGTCATATATTCCATATTTGTAGTTTATTATACAATTATTAGTAGTATTTTGTTATCAGCGCTGTGACTAAGTAAATCTCCAAAAGCAACACATTTTGCCCAGTCAAAAGAAATTCAAGAGCAGATGCAAAACATAGCAATTTTTAAGACTATAAAACTCCAGTGAATCACAGTCGGAGTCAATGACCATGAATAGAGAAAACATCCTAAGCAGAGATTTCTAGAAATGGAAAACCTGGTGATGGCGGTGCGATGGTCTGTGGCTGCTTTGCTGCTTAAAATGGCTGATGAATGCAAAATATTCTGCTTGCTGGCAATACATCCTGAAACAAATATTTATTTGTATTTACTTTGTTTCTTTCCCCGTTTGAAATAAAAAGGAAAAAAACAAAAGCATGGTGAATACATTTTCATGACATTGAATGAATTCTTTGTGTTCTCAAAACTATCCAGTGAATACTTTTTCATGACTTCTATAGAACAAGCATTATGCAAAATATTGATACTTTTATATGGTCTTTGGCCTTGCAGTTGTGTTATTATTCACAAAATATATGTTGGTGAAATCTATCAAAGTCTGAAGGCCCATTTATATTGAATTATTCCGTTTGGGCAAGGTGGTAATCTGTTTCAGACTCTGCTTGTACAAGCTGTATGAAAGATGAGACTCGATTTTAACAGCACTTAGAAGAGTTAACATCTGTCACTTCCACAGTCGGCGTGATGCAGTCATGATGGAAGAATCGAGGACTTTTGCTTAGTATATATTTTTTCTTCATTGATTGGAAGTGAGGTTATCCAAACTGCTAATCAACATTAATAAAATGTTGATGAAGTAATGCATTAAATGACCACTGAACAACTATTCATAAAATATCTCAACATTTGTTAATAAAACACAGAGAAATTAATGCAATGTAGAAAATATTTATGTATTTAGTGTTAACCTGTTAGTATGATTTGTTCTTTAACTGGGCACTTATTTTGGCTAATGCTATTATTTACTAAATATCCAAACGCAACATGCAAAGTAATAAAATAATCAAACTAAAATCACAATAAGAAACTGAATCAAAATGTTCTGCACCATGTCAGAGGATGAAGAGATGCTAATTTCTGATTCTTTAGGTTCTGACGGGTCTGCGGTTCTTCTCCTGATCCATTCTGTCTGTTACATAGCAGCAAACTGCGCCACGACGGACACTTTGTTTTGTCTTCATATTTACACAGCATCCATCCTCGCTGAATTGTTCAGCTGATAATGCGCGTCTTTTCACTCACGTCTGTATTTTAAAGCGTTTTTTCTTCTACGGACATGAAATCAGGTAGAGGACGTTTTACAAAGACGCGGGTTGATAGCAGCTAATTGCGGCTGCGCAGTATCCGTCTCTAGGCAACCGTGGCGTTCAGGGGTCCTTCAGCTCCCGCCACGACAGTGTAGCTGACCTTAATATTGCCAGTGTTTTATTTTGGCGATTATTGTCAAACTTAGTGTTGATGTTTATTAGGCGTCTATCGGACAGTTATGTGTCGGTTCAATACGGGACGCACATTTAACGGCCAAATACGGGACGACGCTGTATTTTACGGGATGGGTGGCAATCCTATTCAGGGGTGCTGACGTACAATTTTAGGGGTTTAGATGAGCCACTGCTTGACATTAACAAGGAGAGACAGATGAACATTTCCCTGTTCGTCCGAGAAATGATGAACTAAAACTTCCTGGACGTCAGACAACATCCGGGTCTCATTATGTGTCTCTGCTTATTTCCAGGCCCAAATGAGCAACTTCATTTGGGCCGAGAAAATGCAAAACCCGCGACTTAAATAAATAAATAAATAAGCCTAAAATCACTTATAACAATCGGACTTGACAGAAACTTAAAAAGAGTTCCTGACTGTCCAGGAACAGTCAGTTAAGACAAAGTGCCGAGGTAGCACAGATCGTCAGAACACTTGATTTGTAGGCCCATTACGTCACAGAGCTGCGTATTCTTGTGCGGAGACGTCATAGGTTGTGATGTCACATACTGCTTTGTTGTGTAACTCGGGGTATAAATAACTCCAGTTGGTAACATTGGAGTTATTTATTCCCCAATGTTACCAACTGAACAACAAACAACAATGGCTTCATTGAAACGAGAGATGCGATTTTTAGTTAATGTTCAGGCCATCCCGGCCATAGAAGAATACATATTTCAAATTAAAGAGGAGGACTGGATGGACCTCAACTTTTTGGACCAGGATGAGAGTGTCACAGAGAGGACAAGATACCTGATCAGATTTTTGACGGAGGTTTTCTCAGATTTTGTAAAGGACGCTCTTGAGAACCTGGCCTACGGATATGGCGATTTAAAAGTTATATTTGGAAGCCAGGTCTCTCAGGCCTTTGCCCGGGCGATGGGAGAAGACACAATCATCCATGGAGAGTGTGCTGCAGTGTTCGACATGCTTTTCTTGAAGCATGCGATATCTGCAGTCACATCTCCCATGGATGATGAAGACCCGGTGTCACTTCTTCGGCCGGGCTTAGGACTCAGTTCTTTGGTGCGAGCTGTCATCAGTATCGTTCACGAACTGATGACAGCGAGACGCGCCAAGGGACTGAGGGCGTCCTTAGAGGAGCAGAGAAAGGACACAGTGCGACTTTTTGTGAAGTCGTTGCTGTGTCTGGGCATCAGGGAGTCCAAGACACGGCGGTGTTTTGACTCCCTGATGGAGGTACAGGAGCGTATGGTGAACAACATCTACACTGCCATCGAGGGCCATCCGGTGGAAATCCAGGTTGACTGGGTCCCTAGCCTGACGAAAAAGGTTTTCAGGGACCTCAGGAAAACCTTTGGCTGTTCTGCCGGATGGGCTCTGGGCTTCATGGAGCACGAGGCCGCTGACGACACAATCGTGGTGTGTCTTTTGAACCAATTAGAAAAGCACCAACAAAAGACAGCTGGTTTTTTCACAAGACTTATATCTGGTGCTCAAAACATCTTTAAAAGGTATGTCACAAAGTGACATACCTTTTAAAGATGTTATACCGCTGTCGACCTCGGCTCCATGACGCCCCCCTGTGCCTCCGCCTCTCTGCTCCTCCATCGTTCCAGGTATCGCATCGCCTCTCTGTTCCATCGGCCACCCAGTTCCTCCGTCGACCTCTCCCTCAAGACGACTCTCCGTGCCTTCATCGGTCCCGACCCCAAGAAGCCTCCATGTTCGATTCTGGTAAAAAGGACCCTTAATTACTTTGCCATGTTTTGGATTATTACCTTAAATTAATCATATTCAACTTAAGTAACTTTAAATGTTACTTCAAAAGGGATGCACAGTTTGTAGCCCTGTTGCCTTGCAGCAAGAAGGTCCTGGCTTCAATTCTTGGCCCGGGGTCTTTCTGTATGGAGTTTTCATCATCTCCCTGTGCATGGTGGGTTCTCTCCGGGTACTCCGGCTTCCTCCCAGTCTAAAAAGATGACTAGTAAGCACCAGCACCACTTGTGACTCCTCTACGGAAAAAAATGCATTTTACAAAATGATTTAGATTTTCTTAAAATTGGAATATGTCACTTCGACTGGAAATCTACCTTTAGTCTTAATCATCACAACATAGTCTCTTATTTTAAAATTAAAATGTTCTTCAGTGTGAGGTGTTTTAAATATTTCAGGTTTTCTATAAGTACAATTATTTCACAGAGCACACTAACCTGCTCTTAACATTTTGGAGACTATGTTTCAACAATAGATTTATTCAGTTCTGAGTGAAGCTTACTGCTCCACTCTGAAGGAAAATACAAATGTTACTCATGTGCGATTTATCTTTTACACATTTGCATCCACTCGTCAGAGAAAGTCTCCTCTGGAGCAAGTTAAGTTTTTGACTGATATTCATAGCAGTTATCTTGGATTGAAGAAAGGAAGGGTTTTAAGTTTTGTGTGGTGTTTAAGGTGAACACAGATTATGATTCTTTCTTTGACACAAAAGTAAACATAGTTATAAAATCTGTGTGAGTGTTGGAGGGTTGTGAGAAATGGACTCGTTCAACGTCTTCTCAGCACTTCACTCCTGTGTCTCAGATCAATTATATGCAGCTGTTCGAATCGATGCATATATATCTTGTACTAAATGTCTGTGGAAATATAAATATATCCTTAGACAACTGGATAATTTTCAATTCACTCGGTATGGATGCATGGAAAAATAATTCACTGGTCTTGCTTTTTTTATAGCTGTTTGAAGGTATTCTTAGTAGAGAAATGTCTGTAAAATTAGTATATTACAAGAATTAACATCTGTCACTTCCACAGTCGGAGTGACGCAGTCATGATGGAAAAATTGAGGCCTGGGAGTTGAAAAAAAGAACATCCCACTAACGAACCTCGACTATAGCCACAGAGAGCTTAATGAGGATTTCTTTCTGTACTTTTGCATTCAAAAACACTTTTGTTTGAATGAGTGTCGAGCGGCTAACTCAATAACAGAGCAATCATTTAGCTCTGTGAGTCAATGATGATTGATGCTACCAGCAGTAAATCAATCTGTGGTCTGGATCACATTTTCAAATGCTCACACAAACGTGCTATGTAGCCATTACAGCCAGCTGATGCATGAAATTAAGTTTTTGAGGGTAGGGAGGGGAAAGGGGGAAATTGTTTTGGCAAACACCCCAAAAACTTCTATGTCATTGCCATATTTAAGTTCTCAAAGCCTCAATGCTCTATTTCTGTGGTTGTCTATAAAGTGTCAAATGATACTATTATCTGTCACTGCTTTGGTTACTGATGTTTGTTGTATCAAATACTTGAAATAGTTATGCAAAGTACTTTTTTCTGCAAATGGCTAAACTAAAGTTTGGTAATCAATCAGATAAAGTCCTTATTGACCTGTCACACAACTGAAAAATAAATAAATAAATAAATAAGGGTGTTTCATTGATCTTGGTAACATCACCACTAAATTTGAATGTATTCGATTGCAGTGCATTTTAAAAGCTAAAAGGCTTTTGGTATGAAACATAGACATACTGAAGAGTATGCTGGTGCACTTCAAATTCGCACCAACTTCTTTACCGGCAGCATTTCATGTATTTACCCGTCTGTGAATGTTTGTTCCCAGATCACCAACATGGAAGATGATCCTAACTGGTACACAGCTGAGCTCCACAACAGGAAAGGCTTTGTGCCAAAAAACTACATCAACCTGAGGCCACATGCGTAAGCTCACACACACACACACACACACACACACACACACACACACACACACACACACACACACACACACACACACACACACACACACACACACACACACACACACACACACACACACACACACACACACACACACATTATGCCCCCACACATCCTCAGCTCTTCTGTAAATTGGGTGAATGCATTTCACACATCCAGCGCTGGTCCATCTAACTGCTCATCAGTCAGTGAACGTGTGCAGCGGGTAGCTCCAGGCGCTCTGCGCTCCGCTTTGGACATCTGCACTCTGGCATAAGGCAGAATGCCCAAGGGGACGCTCTCACTTTATGCCTTACATAAGCCCACAATCCAGGCGTCTGTGTGTAGTGTGTATGTCTTTTAGTGCTAATCTGCTTGTACACCCCATGTTTCCATCAGATGCTTGGACACCAGCTGGGTTATACATTTGCTGTGACAAACACCAAACTGACTACAAAACAAGTCGCTCAGCTGTGGTTTATTACACAGTGAACACTGAAGCCTGACCCAATTGGAGTAATATTTGTGAACATCCTTTGGAGAAATTTGTAGAGATCTTTATCAGTGTCTTCCTTCTCGCTCACAATAACGTGAAGTATATTGAAAAAAAATGTTCTAGTGTGATAAGAGCTACTAAGAACGCCCAAGAAATTAATTTACTCTGTTAGGTGGTTATAGCTTTGTTTTACTAATCTGGTTCACAAGAGCTGATTTTTTTCTTCCAAGCAACTCGCTCTAGCAAGCCGTCCGAATAAGCAAAACCTTTGATATAAAATGACAACGTTACTCTCCCTACACAGCTGACAGCCATATTTCCACTTTTAGCGAGTTGTTTTAAGTGCAAATTTAGCATCATGTTTCAAAAATAACTTCATAAACTCGTTTTATCGTTTCCTCGTTTCTCTTGTAAGTTCCTGTCAGCCCTTTTTTCCCTTTGAAATTCTCTGCAGTTTCAAGGTTTGTACTTATGCACTAACAGCTTGTTTGTCAAGTGTGTGTAATTTCTGGTACAGGAGTTTCTCAGTGGAGCATGTCTCTGTATCTACAGTCCCTTTTAAAAAAAACTCAATTTTCAGTCTTGCATTAGTGACAAAATTTAAGTCTGGACTTTGATTGGACCATTTCAACATACGAATATGGCTTTCGTCCAGTCACATGACTTTCTTTAAATACTAATGTTTTCTGCTACATTTTCATAAAAGCCAGTTTTGTAGAGGGTATACTAGTATATGACAGTAGTAAAGATAAATTCCTCCAGCTGAGTTGTGGCTCTCTGCAGCTCCTCCAGAGATATTGTGAGCACCTTGGCTTTCGGTGTGCCAAACATTCTCATCACAGGCCTATGTAGAGCTCGGGTAGTTCAGAAGGACGTTCAGGAAGCATAAGAGTAGATGAGGCTGATTACAAGTAGTCAATGAATGCTTTTATATACACAATAAAATTCAAACCAGTAATTTCCCTTCCTCTTCAAAATATATGCAATAGTTTGGTATGTCACGTAAAATTCTATTGACGCTGACTGAAGTTTTGTAGTGTAAAACATTTCCCATTGGAAAGAACATTTTGTTGGTGTGTTCTAACATCGGCGATATCTTTCTTTGTCTCTCTGCGTGTTTCTCTCTGTCCTCCAGATGGTTCGCAGGGCGAATATCTCGCGGCGTGGCGGAGAGTCGGCTGAGACACAGAGAGTGTGGAGCCTTCCTCGTCAGGGAAAGTGAAAGCGCTCCTGGAGAGTTTTCAATGTCTGTCAGGTAGGAGATAAATGCTTCCCATTTATATGAAAACCAGTTTTTCCTTATGTTGTTCATTAGGCAATGAGCTTTCGCTGGCTCCCGGTAGCTCAAAGAATAGACTTTTGAAATGCTTTTATTTGTTTTATATCACTGAACGGCTTAGCACCACACTGCTAAAACAATCCACCTGTTATTGCTCCTTTTGAGCCATAAATGAAACACTGATCAACATATTTTGAGGCATATGGTTTTGTTGATGGCACTCATCAAAATTTATTATTTGTTTAATTGTTGACTGTATGGTGTCTTTGTGACTTTGTGATTTTGTGTTTTTATCATCTAAAGCACTTTGAACTGGCTTGCTGCAAAAATGTGCTGCAAAAATAAACTTGATTGATTGATAGGCATTTGAGAGATCATGATTTAATTGAAAGACATGTAATGGATTAAGTGGGTCAATCTGAGCACATTCTGCTAGCTTGATTTTTCCTTGTTTTCTTTCCTTTGGTTGGTTCAGGGAAATATATAGAGAAGGATGGGGGTGTTGGGGGATAGACAATGAGGTGTGAAGAGAAGGCAGAGGGTAAAATGGAAGATTTGCCACCCTTCTGGGCTGATGTGACTTAATCTTGTCTGGCACAACATCTGGAGCCGCTGGTGCGGCTGTACGTCTGGCGTTGTCAGAGGAGGTGGTAGGGTGGGGACAGTGAGGGATGCAGCTGAGCCTTCTTGCTGGACCAGAGGGACAATATGCAATATTGGATGTGGAGAGCCTTTCTAGTTGGCTGATCACTGGGTTATAAGAAAAAAGAAAAAAAATTGGATAAAGGGGCTTTTGCAAGAAGCGTGTGGCTCCTTGTTAAAAAAACAATAATAAATGTGTCATAAGGGGACAGGAATGGTTTTGATGGCAACTTTTTTTGAGCAGTTGATCAAGAATGTCTGACAGGCTCCAGTCGATGGCTGGTGCAGCAGCTTAGGAAATGGGTCAGGTGTTGTCTGTGTGGTTTCTGTGAACTGACAGCGCTGCTGCCAGAAGAGGCGTCTCGGTGGCAGTAACCATAGAGATCCCAGTCTCGGCTTGGTTCAACTTTGATGTCCGTTCTAGAGCAGAGTGGATCAGGCTTGTTTTCTTGTTGAAATCTGTTGCTACAGATACTTTTGACAACAGACTGAAAATGATCAAAAACATTGCAGCGTTGTTTTCATATATATAGCTCATTTCTTGGTGATCCGCACTTTATCTATGGCAAAGTTCTAGACTTGACGATGATTCTGTGAACATAGGATTTTTGTGTTTTTCTGCTAATGTAGTTCCTGTGCAGTCTCGTCTTCCCCTTGGTTGTCTCCAGCTGCCTCTTGTTTCCCTGATTATTCCCTTGTGTCTATTTAATCTGTGTTGCCTGCCGGGTCGCGTCCTTGTCATTTCAGTCATAGGCTTTGTCATTAGTTGTGTGTCCTCCCAGCGCTACCAGAGTTCCTAGCCTCATTGTTCACCTGGGCTGCCCGGACTTCTGTTTTCTTCATGTTTGTCATTAAAAGTTTCCTCTGTAGGAAGATTATTTGTAGATCAATTGTCTTTGTAGATCTAAAGTCTCTGTCCATGTTGAAAGGGATCAAATCAGGCTGGTCCAGGTGTCTGATCAAAATAACACCTGGATGTCTTCCTTTTGGGGGTTTTGTGAGAACATCACACTGGCAGAACACCCTGGGACAGACACAAAAATAGCTAAAAGGACTAAACATATCCCATCTGTCTTGAGAATGCCTTGAGATCCCCCACAGGGAGCTGGGGAGTGACTGTACTGAGAAGAATATCAACGTGTCCCTCCTGGACTTGTGACTGCTTGGGAATTGTCCTTAACAAGTGGGCAACGATAGTTTGACGAACGGCACAATACTGAATGATGTTTCGTATTAAGTTCATAATCAATGATACACGGAGGTTCTTCATTAGAAACTTCCCAAAACTGAAATGATAACACTCCGAATGGATATTTAATTCACATCACTAAAAATGGACAATTGTCTTTACTGGAAAAACTAGCGCTGACAGAAATTAAACAAGGACATGGCCTTTCCCAGCCAGCACACCTAGGTGGGCCCCATATGGGATATAAGTGGGCAGGCAATATGGGTCCCAAAAGGGTTTGTCCACGGTTTCCATGGTGGCCCCACATGGGTTTGCCCAAGTAGATTTTAATGGGTGCTAACTGGGTTTTCAGTGGGTCCCACATGGTTAACTCACATGAGGCCCATCTGTGGCCCACTAGGGTGCTGTCAAGAATATTTACGTGGGTCCCAATTGGGTCTGAACTGGGCTAGAATGGGTACCAAGTGGGTTTGTCCACGGTTTCCATGGTGGCCCCACATGGGTTTGCCCAAGTAAATTTTTATGGGTGCTAACTGGGTTTTCAGTGGGGCCCATGTGGTTAACTCACATGAGGCCCATCTGTGGCCCACTAGGGTGCTGTCAGGAATATTTACTGGGTCCCAATTGGGTCTGAACTGGGCTAGAATATGGGTACCAAGTGGGTTTGTCCACGGTTTCCATGGTGGCCCCACATGGGTTTGCCCAAGTAGATTTTAATGGGTGCTGACTGGGTTTTCAGTGGGTCCCACATGGTTAACTCACATGAGGACCATCTGTGGCCCTAGGTGCTGTCAAGATATATGTCCCAATGGGTCTGAGGCTAGAATATGGTCCAAGTGGTTTGTCCACGGTTTCCATGGTGGCCCCACATGGGTTTGCCCAAGTAGATTTTAATGGGTGCTAACTGGGTTTTCAGTGGGTCCCACATGGTTAACTCACATGAGGCCCATCTGTGGCCCACTAGGGTGCTGTCAAGAATATTTACGTGGGTCCCAATTGGGTCTGAACTGGGCTAGAATATGGGTACCAAGTGGGTTTGTCCACGGTTTCCATGGTGGCCCCACATGGGTTTGCCCAAGTAAATTTTTATGGGTGCTAACTGGGTTTTCAGTGGGGCCCATGTGGTTAACTCACATGAGGCCCATCTGTGGCCCACTAGGGTGCTGTCAGGAATATTTACCTGGGTCCCAATTGGGTCTGAACTGGGCTAGAATATGGGTACCAAGTGGGTTTGTCCACGGTTTCCATGGTGGCCCCACATGGGTTTGCCCAAGTAGATTTTAATGGGTGCTGACTGGGTTTTCAGTGGGTCCCACATGGTTAACTCACATGAGGCCCATCTGTGGCCCACTAGGGTGCTGTCAAGAATATTTACGTGGGTCCCAATTGGGTCTGAACTGGGCTAGAATATGGGTACCAAGTGGGTTTGTCCACGGTTTCCATGGTGGCCCCACATGGGTTTGCCCAAGTAAATTTTATGGGTGCTGACTGGGTTTTCAGTGGGGCCCATGGTTAACTCACATGAGGCCCATCTGTGGCCCACTAGGGTGCTGTCAGGAATATTTACCTGGGTCCCAATTGGGTCTGAACTGGGCTAGAATATGGGTACCAAGTGGGTTTGTCCACGGTTTCCATGGTGGCCCCACATGGGTTTGCCCAAGTAGATTTTAATGGGTGCTGACTGGGTTTTCAGTGGGTCCCACATGGTTAACTCACATGAGGCCCATCTGTGGCCCACTAGGGTGCTGTCAGAATATTTACCTGGGTCCCAATTGGGTCTGAACTGGGCTAGAATATGGGTACCAAGTGGGTTTGTCCACGGTTTCCATGGTGGCCCCACATGGGTTTGCCCAAGTAAATTTTTATGGGTGCTGACTGGGTTTTCAGTGGGGCCCATGTGGTTAACTTACATGAGGCTCATCTGTGGCCCACTAGGGTGCTGTAGGGAATATTTACCTGGGTCCCAATTGGGTCTGAACTGGGCTAGAATATGGGTAACAAGTGGGTTTGTCCACGGTTTCCATGGTGGCCCCACATGGGTTTGCCCAGGTTGATTTCAATGGGTGCTGACTGGGTTTTCAGTGGGACCCAGATGCCTTAATCCTGTAGGAACAATTCTCATCTAACCTGGATGTGAATTACATTCATAGATATGCAATCTTGATCAACAATCCAAAGTCTAGCTTAAAACGTGTTCAAATAAAAAAAAAAAAAAAAAGAGATGAAAAATTTATTTTGCTCAAGGCTTTTATTTAGTAATTTAAAATATTGTCAGGAGTTATTTTTACCTCACTACAGCAATTATTAGAACTTCATTAATACTCAGGGAATGGTGCCACAAAAAGAAATCTGCAATTATTCACGACATCTTTGAAAATAACAGAAGCTAGTTTACTATAACAAACTTATAAACAGATCTATAAATATATATCTATAGATGCACACAAATAAAGACACCTACATATTTTCCTACAGGTCTATAAATGTATACATCTAAATACTATCTATATAACTTTATACACGTATATTCACATTGATACACACAATGTGAATATACACCTATATAGATCTTTCACAATACATTTTTGTTAAACATTTTTAAAAATAACCTACATGCCATATGCATGCTTAAATTTGAAATCTCTCTTTTACTGAAACTGTCCATCTTGAAAGACCTCCCCAACCTGAGTTTGAACTGGCAGTCTCTCTAGTCTATTTCCACTTCCACTCGGGCTCCAGTAAACCACTTCGAGAGTCTTTGCTGTATGCTTGTGTGATTCTGTAGATGGATAATTTCTTTTAAGTCCCCTGAAATAACAAGCAAAGGTAGAAATTGTATTAGTGTTTCATTTTAGCACAATGTAACATTCATGAGATTTGCATCTCCCCCTTCATGGGGCAAAAATGCTTGCAGAGATATGCCATAATCAAAAGGACTCTTGAGTCATCATTATTATGTACAGAAACTATATTCTTACTGTAAATTTAAAATATATCCATCTATATAAATCAACTACTAGGTTCTATCGGTTTTTGTGGTTATTTTAATATTGTTTGAAATGCAAACAATATTACCTTAAAATTTTTAAGTTCTTAACAACAGTGAAAGAATACTGTTCAAATAAAACCAAAAATTGAAGACTCAATTTTTAACCTAAAAACATTACTAAAAATAACAAACAAAAGCATAAAACAACCAAAATAAATTAACATATGTTTAAGAAAGAAAAGTGAAAAAAAAAAGTTACTCTGACAATAAAAACTGATATTTACCATACAAAACATCAAAGAGACGCAGGTCCAAGAGCTTGTTTCCAATGTTGGCCAAAAAGGTTGAACTGGACTTCCAGTTCATGGGACATGAGGAATCGCACAGCTGGTTGTATTGTGTCATCTAAGGATGCTCCTCCAATTCTGTAGCCATGGCAACCTTAAGTACAATGACAATAACAGGACAACATTTTGTTTTTGTTCATCAGTTTGTTATTATATCACTCTTATGTGCTTAATTTTACTAACATATTAATCTACCTTTTTCAAATCATTATAAAGTGATCTTCACACGCTGATCCTCTTGAAGCCTGCAAAAATATATATTTATTAGTGCAATATAACATTTAGACTTTTCAAAAAAATAAAAAAATTAAGGCAAAACAGCCTTTGTATGGATTAACTACTGAAGCCTTATATTGTAAACACTGAACAGTTTTTGCAATTATCCTAATTTCTTTGTTAACGTGACAGGACTAAGACAGTAGTATTACTCTTAAGAGAAGTTTAGAAATCACTATAAATGTAACTAATAAAGCCTAAAACATTGCACATATAAAAAAATTAGAGCTACAATTAAATATAAGTACATTTCACATAACTGCTAGCTAAATATTGCAAAAATATCAAAAAGAATTTCTTCATCTTTCAATATTTGTTTCAGGCTTGGCCACTGATTGACATGATGGGTTTCAATTTACGGACCCACATGCAGTAACCACACGTTGGATAGGGATGAGTGAGTGATTTATTTACAACAGGACAAAATAAAATCTATTTCCCGGACATCAGCGGAAGGGTGAGGACCACTCGACCAGGTTGGCCTGAAACGAGAACTTAGTTATTATGACGGGCTTAGAATGAGTGATCGGAGGGGAAACAGGAACAGGCTTACTTCGGTGCGGGTCTTTCGAGGCGTGGGTGTGAGATGCCAGGTTCCTGAGAGAGGGTGTGCAGCGGTTCCGAAGGTAAATGCGAGGTGGGAATGGAAGAGAGCTGGAAGCTCGAAGGGTGGAGTGGAGGCAGTGGAATCGGCGGAGCGAGCAGGCAGGTATTCACTGGTGAGTTCTCGAATGAGGCGACAAAACCCCTAGGATCGAACAAACACAGAGACCAGGTGACTTCTAGTAGACACAGAACGTTCTCAGAAAACTGTTCACAACAGGAGAGGCCAGAGTGACTACCGGTGTATGCAACCATCTAGCATACACCAGTAGAATCTTCAGCCAATCTAGCGTAGACTGAAGATTCTGCTGCTCCTCCACCTGTGCCAAGCTCCACGGGCTCCTCGCTGAAATAAGATGCGACACTCACATACACACACAGGAACCCTGACACTGATGACTACTCTAGACCAACACAATAGCGGCAGATTGAAATAAACTATGACATAACAAAACGCTTTAAAGTGTCACACAACAATTAAAAAAAGAATTTAAAAATATGAACTACAATGCCTTCATCCTATTTACAAAAACCTTTTAGGCCCAATATACTGAAACCACATGGGCCCCATATAGTGTTCCCATTTCTGTCCCATGCCCGGTTAGCCCACGTTAATGCTGAATTGGGCCCATACATTTAACCCAATTGAGCCAACAATATGAGTCCCATTTCGGTTAACCTTTTGAGCCACGCAGTTGGCCCAGATAAAACCCATGCCCTCTTATCATTACCTATATAGCCAAAGCTAAACGATTCAATGCAGTTTTATTGAAAAAAACGACAATAATAATCTTGCATGGGTCCCAGCCAAACCAGCCTGAATCCATACATGAGACCCACCCATGCATGCTGATGTGACTGTGAGAAAGATTATTAAAAGCCCAAGTACATAGAATGAAAGCACAATAGTTACTCTTTTTAAATCATACAAATGGTTTTATTGTGTCCAGACACTTTGTAACAACCTCTGCTAGCAACATAGATTCTTCAGTGAACCGATTTCATTCTGCCTCGTTGGCGCTCAAATGAACCAATGGCAGCTCAACAAATAGAATGGCGGCGGTATTTGAAAATGGTTTGGCCCAACGCTGCGTTTGAAATCGGTCTGCACTAAAATCTGCTTATTGTGTGTAGCTGTGTGTGTTAGCAATATCAGAAAAAGTATCACCCTAAAGAAAAGCAAAAATAACAATAACAATTAAGTCTCTTTTGGGATACTGTCGTCCGATTTGTTACGAGCAACAATTTTTTTAACAAGCGATTAAAATCTCTCCCTAAAATTTGGTACTAGGTAAAACAGAAGAAATGTACTTACAGATTCTTTCGTAGATCAGCCAACAGGCAGACTCCGCGCCAACGGACTGATGAAGAGAACAGGCTTGATTTTGAAACCGCATATCCATCCGCGGGTCATTTTACGTTTCCAAGAAACACAAGATTAATTTTTGAGAGTGCTACATCGGTTTAACAAATGTAAAACCGATGTAGCAAAAGTTCTCAATGTAAATAAATACATTTCGTTGTCCTCCTTATTCAAATATGTTTTGGAACTATTTTCTTCAGTGGATGTGTAAAGTGCCTACCGGTACTTCAATTCACCAACCTTTATTGGCAACGGTGCCTCAGAGCAAACAATGAACAAAAAGGTAATTGGAACCAAATGAATCATTAACAGAAATGTTACGTTTTTTTATTTTTTATTTTTATTTATACTGATGACTTGGAAAATGTTTGCAAAATATATGAAAAAACAGATGCTCAAAATTTTACTCTTGTCTCTCACTTGCTAATGAGTTTTGTTTATTTTCTAAACATTTTGTGATATTTTTCACAATGGTCTGATCTGAACTATTTGTCCAAATAAAAATTTAAATCTTGCTGCGAACAGGCTGCAGTAAACTCTATGGATGTCTAAACATCCAATTGATAAAAAATAATAATAAAAATAAAATAAAAAGTTATTATTATTAAAAATAAAACAAGGACTAAAGCTCAACCATGACCACTCTGTGCTTAATTTTGAGTAAGCACCAGAATATGAGTTTACGTATATATTTCAAACAGATTATTTCAAAAAAATGTTTTAAGACATTTCAGACTGCAATAATAAATGAAAAAAAGTTAGGGGTTCAAAGTGTAGCAAGAGCAATACTGAACTGGCTTTTGCTTTGACATACAGTGAAAAGTTTGAAAGTGACAGGGTAACCACATTGTCGATTAAAATGTTCTACAATTTTGTCCCATTTAGACCATGAAAAAAAGTACTAGGGGCTACATTTTCCTGCCCAGGTCCAACCCATGTATGGTTAGCCCATGCTCATGTCATGTTAGTTTAATGTGGACAGCCCACATTGGGCTTCTCATGTGGGCCCATGATACTGAAACCACATGGGCCCCAAATAGTGTTGCCCATTTCTGTCCCATTTCCAGTTAGCCCACATTGTTGCTGAATAGGGCCCATACATTTAGCCCAAATGGGCCAGCCCATAGGGGTCCCATTTTAGTTAACCATATGTGTCCCATGAGGTTTGCCCAGATAAAACCCATGACCCTCATTACCCATATGGCCTACTACAAACCCAAGGGGGCCCTCATCATGCGTACTGGCTTGGAGACTGGACTGGACTGTTCTAGCATAAATAATAACATGAAAAAATGTTAAGGGTTCAAAGTGTGGCTAGAGCAATACTGAACTGGTTTAAAAAAATAAAGCATTGTAGAATTATTTTTAATGTTTTAATATCCTGGTCCTCTGGAAGCCTATTGTTTGTAAATGAGGCATAGATATCACACAGTGAACATGTTTTAGGTTCAAACATTAGGAAGACATGGATGTTCTGTTCTATCAGCAAAATATATCCTTGGGTGATCTCCAAGACGAGGTCACCTTCGTCCTGGAGACCTCGACAATGGTCAAGGTCACCAACCTTTACTATCGTCGAGGTTACAAGGAAAAAATTAAATTCTACAATTTACCTTACATCAACTCCATTAGAGGCCAGCTGAGTAACAATTGCCTTGGCAAAGACTATAAAGCTGACATCTCGGGTAATTCTTTCCAAGTTTTGAGAATCTTGCTCTTGCAGCTTTTGCTTTGACATACAGTCAAAATTTTGAAAGTGACAGGTTAACTACAGGGGTTGGACAATGAAACTGAAACACCTGGTTTTAGACCACAATAACTTATTAGCGTGGTGTAGGGCCTCCTTTTGAGGCCAATACAGCATCAATTCGTCTTGGACAAGTATGGGGCCAAGGGAATGCCATGATATGGCAGCCCACACCATCAATGATCCACCCCCATGCTTCACTCTGGCATACAACACTCTGGCTGGAATGCATCTTTGGGGCTTCTCCACACCGTAACTCTCCCGGATGTGGGGAAAACAGTAAAGGTAGACTCATCAGAGAACAATACATGTTTCACATTGTCCACAGCACAAGATTTTCGCTCCTTGCACCATTGAAACCGACGTTTGGCATTGATACGAGTGACCAAAAGTTTGGCTATAGCAGCCCGGCTGTGTATTGACCATGGAGCTCCCGACGGACAGTTTTGGTGGAAACAGGAGAGTTGAGGTGCACATTTAATTCTACCGTGATTTGGACCGTGGTTTTATGTTTTTGGGATACAATCCAGGTTAGCACCCAAACATCTCTTTAAGACAGCTTCATCTTGCATCCACAGTTAATCCTGTTAGATGTGGTTCGTCATTCTTGGTGGTATGCTGACATTACCCTGGATACTGTGGCTCTTGATAATCACAAAGACTTGCTGTCTTGGTGAACAATTTGCCCTCTTTTGAACTCCAGTATGTCCCAAATAATGTTATGTGCATTGCAATATTTTGAGCAAAACTGTGCTCTTACCCTGCTAATTGGACCTTCACACTCTGCTCTTACTGTTGCAATGTGCAATTCATGAAGATTGGCCACCAGGCTAGTCCAATTCAGGCATGAAACCTCCCACACTAAAATGAGAGGTGTTTCAGTTTCATTGTCCAACCCCTGTACATTGTTCTACAATTTTGTCTCATTTAGCCCACTTAAAAAAGGACTGGGGTCTACATATCCACACCCAGGTCCAACCTGGGCGTGGATATGTACTGACCACACTGAACCCACAGTGGGTTCAGTGTGGTCAGCCCACATGGTCTCCCCATGTTGGGCCATGACATGAGCCCATGCTGATGTCATGTGGGTTCAGTGTGGTCTGCCCACATGGTCTCCCCATGTTGGGCCCATGATACTGAAACCACATGGGCCCCACATAGTTTTGCCCAGTTCTATCCCATTCCCAGTTAGCCCACTTAAAAAGGACTGGGCCTACATATCCACACCCAGGTCTAACCCATATATGGTCAGCCCATGCTGATGTCATGTGGGTTCAATGTGGTCTGCCCACATGGCTTCCCATGTGTTGGGCCCATGATACTGAAACCACATGGGCCCCATATACTGTTGCCCAGTACTATCCCATTCCCAGATAGCCCACTTAAAAAAGGACTGGGGCCCACATATCCACACCCAGGTCTAACCCATATATGGTCAGCCCATGTGATGTCATGTGGGTTCAATGTGGTCAGCCCACATGGGCTTCCCATGTTGGGCCCATGATACTAGAACCACATGGGCCCCACATACTGTTGCCCAGTACTATCCCATTCCCAGATAGCCCACTTAAAAAAGGACTGGGGCTACATATCCACACCCAGGTCTAACCCATATATGGTCAGCCCATGCTGATGTCATGTGGGTTCAATGTGGTCAGCCCACATGGGCTTCCCATGTTGGGCCCATGATACTGAAACCACATGGCCCCCATATACTGTTGCCCAGTACTATCCCATTCCCAGATAGCCCACTTAAAAAAGGACTGGGGCCCACATATCCACACCCAGGTCTAACCCATATATGGTCAGCGCATGCTGATGTCATGTGGGTTCAATGTGGTCTGCCCACATGGGCTTCCCATGTTGGGGCCATGATACTGAAACCACATGGGCCCCATATACTGTTGCCCAGTACTATCCCATTCCCAGATAGCCCACTTAAAAAAGGACTGGGCCTACATATCCACACCCAGGTCTAACCCATATATGGTCAGCCCATGCTGATGTCATGTGGGTTCAGTGTCAGCCCACATGGTCTCCCATGTTGGGCCCATGATACTGAAACCACA